CCTGGCTTCCCAATCCACATTCAATACCTCTGTAAAAAGAAAACAACCATTCTGTGCCCACCTCCCGACCCCTCTTTGCATAGTCCCTTCCATCCCCACCCATTCCCACTCCTCTGTCGCACGTTAAAGGAAGTCATTCCTCCTCTCCCCACCCTGCTGCTGTACTGTCCCCCAGGCCAAACCTCCCTCTTTCCAAGGGTTGTGTAGTTATCCCTAAATTCACTCATTCTCCCCCTTGCCCCCTCCCCCTGCAAGGAAAAAAATGCCTCTTTTTCCTTGTCTCTGTCTTCACCAAAGGGCATTGCCAAGTGTTTGTATTCCAAAAAATCTTAACGTAGAGAATGCCATGCCTACCTGTGAAACGCAACTCCTCTTGCATAGAGTATTTACCAGCATGTAGCAGGGCTATGTAAGGCTACATCCCAGCAAGCAAAGAATATATTTAATTGAAACAAATAGTGGTTCTTTCTTATTCTCCTTTTAACTTAGCTTTGTTAACTTGGTGTTCTGTGGTTTTGATACACACTATTTCAGGGCCAGATCCTATAATATCTACATGAGTAGGTAACTAACAGACCCAAGCTCTCCTTGCAGAGAATGAAATTCATTAGTATGGATCCAGTTGTTGGATTTGGCCCAAAGCGTGAAAACTACAAGATTAGATTTCATTTGAGGCAATCTGATAGCTTTCTGGAAAGTTGGAAGAGGGCAAAACTGTTACTTTGTGCCCTCTCCAGCAAGCTGGTTCTTTAATTTTTGATTTTTGCAACTTGGGTTCTTTAAAATGTAAAATAAAATGAATCCCTGATATAACTTCCTTGACTTCAGTGGAGAAACATTTTACTGAATTTGTTCTGTGGGATGTGAACAAGTTGTCTATATGGAAACAAAATCAATGTAATTCCCACCTTTAAAACTTAGATTGAATTCTTTGATTTCTTTTTGGTCATCTTTCAGGACTTTCTGTGTGTCTCATTCTTGGAGCTAATGAAAGTAACTGGACAGAGCTATCAAAATGTGCAGAAGCTTCTTTGCAAAGTCAGTCGAGCCTGTGCCCCCAAAATGCAGACTGTAAGTATATTTGTGCTGATCTCATTTTGAAAACAATTGTCTGGGAAGAGACCTGTCACTTCCCTGGACTACCATATATACATTTGTTGCATGGGAGGACATTTCTTTTTTTTCTCAATTTTTTTCTCAATTTTTATTTATTTTTTTCTATGTGCAGACCCACAAGACACCTGAAATTATCAGTTTAGCTGTGTATATTGTCAGAGTATAGTACCTTCAGTTAATCGTGTTAATAGCCAAGCAGGGTATTGAAGTGATTACAATGGGATGTAAATAGCACTCCTGCAAATTTAGACATGCTCCAGCTGAGAGCTGCTCAAGAAGGTATAGAATTTCCTCTTTTGAGAGTATCAATGGAAGTGTTTCTAATTGGAGGTTTGCAACTCAAAGTGCCATTGATTAGTATAAAAGAGGAACAAGAGCATGCCAGTGGAAAGAATTTTTTAAAAAGTAATATTGAAAGCAAAGAATAGAATGATCATTAAAACTGTATCAGCATACAGTTTTGAGGAATCCTCTGGTCTCAACTCTTAGGTAAATGGGAATTTAGGGTGTATGTGATGCATATGGTGTTTACGTTTATTGGCACAGAGGAAAGAGGTTTGAGCTGCACTGCTGTTGGCAGTATGCTACATTCTGTCCTCCCAAACATAGAGAAAAGATGTCATTGATGGTATCTTGCAGGAATGGAGACGGGGTAGAGAATTGTGGGAAACAAGATTATTTGTATGGAATGTTTTTAAATTGAAAAGTTTTAATAACTTGTGAAGTCATATGAATTGACTGAAGAGCTCTCTAGGTCATTAAAGTGGATTGTTAATACTGCATTTACTCAAATTTAAGATGACCCCTCCAGTAATTAGATTCTATATATGGAAAGTTTAGAATTTTGTTATAATTTTCCAGATATAGAATCTAATACACAGAAGTTTAGGCCTGGGAAGGACCTCGTGAGATCATCGGTTCCAGCCCCCTGCTCTGGGTAGGAAAGACTGCTGGAGTCAAATAAGCCCAGCAATGTGCGCATCTAGTCTCCTTTTGAAGATCTCCAGGGTAGGTGCCTGCACCACCCCCGCAGGGAATATATTCCAGTGTCTGGTCACATGAACCAGGAAGAAGTTTTTCTTTATATTCCTTAAGTATTATAGTTTTTGCTTAAGTTTTTTTTCCTTAATTA